TTGGAATGAGTTTTGATCAATTTTGGGTATTTTGGCAAAATTTGGAATTTTTAGCCAAATTTGGGTATCAAGGGCATTTAGGTAATTTGGAGGTGCCTAGGGGCAAAATACCAAGTTAAGCATTTCACATAGAATTGGATAGATATCCATTCTAAATGAACCAGGGATTAATATATTGTGAAGATATGGTGTATCCTAGTTCCAGGGTCGACCCTAAAGCCAAGTAATCCTATAGGGACTCTTCTTGAATTCTCTTATAATGATCTTACCTACTAAATGCTAGAGGTTAAGATCAATATGTGGAATTTCAAGCTGAGTAAAAAGAAGAGTTTTGAATTTCTAATGGTGGGGTACCTCTTCTAATTTTCTAAGACTAGTCAATAGGAAAGTCCTATGGCTAGACCTAGGCTACTAAAGAAGTTTTCTAGACCTCAACCAAAAGTGAGGTCAACAGTGGGATCGTTTGATTCGCTTCTTAGCCTTCTGCTAGGAAATGAAGGACCGGAGGTAGGTAGGTTAAGCGACCCAACCGTTGGAAGATCGACTCCTTCTCGTCCAACCACACTTATCCAATTAGCTGACCCTTTCGTGCTAGAAACCACTAAGTTCATTTGTCTATAGGATAAGGAAATGTAGATGTGCGTCCGTTGGTCAAGGGATAGAAGACAATGGCAACACCGGCGTCGCTCGAGGTGCAATAGAAGGCTGGTAATGGCACTATGTCATTTGCAACCTCTGAGTTGGATCAAATCCTTTGTATGAGAAGTTTTCGTTTTGCTTTGGTTAATTTATTTCTTTCTAAGAAATTTCTTTTTTTCCTTTCATTTTTTTTTTATGTAGCCCAACCGATTATGGATCTGATGATTGTTGACTCCCCCTCGGTGGAAGTTGAATTAGGTTCGACCGCAGTGCTAGCGACCGAGAGTTAAGAACCGGTTCTGGGAGTAATTGGAGGAACATCTACACTAGCATGGGGAGAGGAGAATACAGTGGACCGACTGAACAACCTCTCAGCGTCCCATGTTGAGGCGACCAATGGGCAGAGGTCATCTCCTGAGTTGTTGATATGCCGACTGAAGAAAATGGAGAGCTTCTAAGGCCAGATCGTCGGGATGCAGAGGGAATAGGAGGTTAAGAAGTTGCAGAAAAAGGTGATGGTGCTTCGGTTGGAGCTTTCCGAGAAGCTGACTACACTTCGGCCAGGACTGATAGACATTCGGGAATATTGCTTGGTGTTTTGATTCCAAGCAAGTGGATAGCATTGATATATTTAGGTTTGGTGGAAGGTTCCATGTCAAATGTTGCTTTAATGAAGACTTGTCTCGGCCGAAGCAACAAACAAACCACTTGTAAATTACCTTTATCTGAATAATCCAAAAAACTTGTTTATGTAATTAATTTTCTCAAAATTTTAGTTGATGGGATGCATTTTTTCGAAATCGAGGTATGACCTTGGGACGCTTCTGCTTCCTTGGGTGCACTATATAAAATGTTGAATTTGATTTTGGGCATTGCGCTCTCAGACATTCATTTGCATCTCTCTGATTCTCTATCTCTAATTTCTTCCCTTGCTTAAATGGCTCCAAAATATTCACTGAAGTGTTTCAATTTGATCCCAACGATATATAAGCCCACTATGTCATCGGAGGGCGTTTCCTTTTTGCAAGATGCATGTGTTTTCTGTGATGATGTCGTGCCCTGGGCCGTGGAGTCATCTAATTGAGCGACTAATGGGTACAGAAAGAATCTTGTTATTTGTCACGATCAGTTTCAGCGGGGTCTCCTACTGCATTTTTGCCACGAGCTTCTGTCTACTTTCAATCAAACTAGATCGCTGCCATAATTACATACATCCTTTACTGCCGTCACACTGGGATCCTTTGGTCGTGGGAAGTCTTCTCCTACGTTTTCTCCTTCCGAATCAAGCTAGACAACCATATCTTGTTTGGGTCGACCGATAAATTCTCCTTGTTGGACCTTGAGAGCAAGATCAAGGATTGGAGCATCACTTCCTTCTGGGGTCCTTGATTGATTGGAGGATTGTGACTCGCCTAACAAGGGGATGTATATAAAGAAGTTTGTGCCTCCGCAAACACGAGATGAGGCGCAACATGTTGAAGGGAAACGACTATTAGTCTATGAATGGACTGATTGTGTGGTAGCGAACTGGGTTTTGAATCCAGACTGATTTGGTGCTATAACATTGGAGATGTAGAAGAATTTGGATGCCGAAGAAGCACATCGGGAGGCAGATGAGATTTCTATGAATGCTAGGAAGAAAACACGAAAGAAGGCCACCTGCTTGAAAGCTGCTGGAGCGACAAGCAGAGAGGCGCTGAGCAGAAAGATATCACTGCCAACCCCAAAAAAGGGTCCTCATGTTTGGATTACATTCATTTTATTTTCTAAGACCGCAAACACAATTCAAAGATTATTTAGTGGGGAGTTAATTCTTCTTAAGAGAAAGCCTACTCTGATGGATCCGAGAGAACAACATCGGGAGTTGGAAAGAACTCCTAACTACTTGGTGACTAATGTAGAGGAGTCAGACAAAAGAGCCTGTGACTCCTCTGGCACCTACTACAACTTTCATCATGATGTGGGAAAGGAAGGAAGCTAGTCAAGCATCCATTTTTGTCATGCCCAAGCACTAACTAAGTCCAATTCAAAACTTATTTTAAAGCGTGTTGCTGAAGAGGAGAGATATCGCCATCGAAAAGGAAAGGCTCCAACCCTGACCTGTTGAGGTCCGGTCGTCCGACTATGCCGAATTGGGGTTTTCAATCGGCTTATGGTGGTCTTCGATTCCAATGTACTTAGCTCGTTCAGGCTGATTATACCAGTTGGCTGCTCTATTTCAACTACTGACTATTATTCCTTAGATAAGGAACTCTGGTTGATAGAATGAGACTAAGCTGCCAGACAGAGTGTGAATCATCGTAATCTGACATGTAGTTCACCCTTTAACTAAAAAGTTCTTCAAGAAGCCCTTGAAGTATAACATTATCGATCCTTAGCATCATGATGTATCAGAGGCGTTTATGAAATGTCTGGTGAGTTATTTTCCTTGAGTTAGATTGGGTGCTAGAGCTTGACTGATGTCTATTCTCGACCTGATCGAACTTGGTTTTCGGCTCGGACGGTTTGCGCCAGGTCAACTTCGGACCCTAGTTTATGGGTTCACACTTGATTGAGTTTTTTGACCTTCTACTAATGGGTCTTTTAATCTCCCTCAATGTGTCCCAGACGTACGCATCTTTGCGTACGTCTTATGTACGCATTTTTTCCCGTGTGTGTGTGTGTGTGTAGATATATATATATATGTATATATGTCTCTGGGTCAATTAGATCTCCTTAAGATTCTTAATGGTTATGATTAATATTCCATCATAATCAATAATTCCATTATTTTCAAAATGAAACATACTTCTCACCATACTGAATCTGAGATGAAATTTAATATTTGGGTTCAAACTACAGACATTACAGCCGCATTAACTAATTAAGCATGACAATATATCATTTTGACAAACCTAGAAAGACCGACCCCACCTGGTAGTCCCGCAAGGTATTCCGGAAAATAGATTTTAAAAACAGAACTTTAAACAATCAGATCGGAATGAACCGTTTAAGCAGCCACTCATACTTCCACGCTGATTAATATAAATTTGATTAATATATGCAATTTTCTATTTAACAAAAAGAAAAAAAAAAAAAAAACCAATGATTCTATAAATTTTCGATTTAGTAAAGTTCTCACTATGTTCACAGCTGACATAAAATTTGACAAAAACATGAACATAAATAGCAGCTAAAATATTAGGATTTTAATATTTCAATATATATATATATATATATACACATTCACAAATTTTGAGAAAATCCAATAAATAAAATATAAAGTACAACAACAAAGGAGAGCTCATAGACGAAAAAACAATGGCCAACCGATAGAACAGTAACAATAAGCTATTAGAAATTCAAAATATTAAAAAACTCTGATTCTAAATTCTAACCGAAAGTTAAAGTTACTAAAGTCAAGTGAGTGCATTAATCTAATTCTTCTTATAATACGACTTAAGCAAGCATTTAGCATCACTGGCAATCTCACATAAGCGTCCAATTGTCCTCATATGGGGCCAAGAGCTAACCATCACATTATCATTTCAAGTATCCCGAAGGATCGCCTCATCAAGGACTAAGGTGCATGTTGGTTTATGATGATCTACCATTTACCCAATAGCATAACCTTACTCCATCAATAGAAGTTCCTTACCTAGAGTTTAACAATCGGGAATCAAGCTAATAAATCAATTTACCAACACCAATCGAGTCAAACTTGGCCGACCCGAAGACCATTAAGGGCTGACCGACACCCCTATTAATTGAAGACCAACAAGCAAGTCTTGTCGAACTTGAGTAGACTAAATCCAACTGACCCAGTCATAGGGTGATCCAACCTAATGCATTTTTGAATAAAATTCATATGTACTGTAACACTCTTGTTAAAGTAGAGATAAATATGTAATTTCATATATTGTACATTATAGAGGGATAATTTCCTCATAAAAAGGCTAATCGACAATTCAAATCACTATTTATTATTGTGCATTCTTCTCTCTGTCTCTATTTTTTCTATCTTACATTTTATTTCTTAGCTGCGATTGAAGGATAAATCAAATAAATGAATGTCAAATAGCCACATCTTTAAAATCCCATCGGATCTATTTTAATTTGCCTTTGAATTGATCCTAACTGGCCTCTTCTATTCAGCATTTCAACTAATGTTGATGAGAGTCTTATCCTAATTGTCTTTCGTTAAGCACCTGACCAGATCCATTAACGAAGTTAATAAAATACAAGATAATGCAAAATAACAAAATATTTATCATAATAACTCCTCAGAGTTAGCAAAACCCAAACCCCCCAGAGTTAACCAAACCCCAAAAAAAAAAAAAAAAAAAAAAAAAAATCCAAATAATAATAATAAAAGCTGTAGCTATTTCAATATCATCGTATTAATTAATTAAAGAGAAATTTTATAGATAATTAGGAAGCAGGGGAGTACGGCCCTCGGGTCAAAGACAAGCAACTCCCCTTTCCCCACGCGGATCGAGTCAGCCTCCGAACTCGAATCAGGCCCATCCCTAACCCGGCCCGCTATGACACGACAAACCAGCATGGCCCGACGGCCCGGTCCATCGCCGGCGGTCGCATGCGCCCTACCGCTTCCGGCGAAGGTGCGGACTCCCTTCATCGTACCTACCGTGCAGACAAACAGCCCGGCGTTGTAGACGCGCCGGCGGCTGCCGAAGCGGCGACAGAAGGATGAAACCGCATCATCTCATTGCCATCTGCCGCGCATCGAGGATCGTCGGATCGAGATCGGACAGCGGAACGGTGGTCCTCGAAGCGAGCGACGGAGCGCGGCGGGTGGTGGACGCGGAAGAGCATCTCAATCTCGCCGGGGAAAGGTGAGATTGAACCTCGTGGCGACCAGCTCGATTCGAAGATTAGCTCGACGACGCGGCGGGAAGAGTGTCCCGGCGGCAAATCGACGAGGGTTGGGAGGGAGACGGGGGAAGGAGGTGGCGACGGGATGGATAATGCCTTGGGTTTGGATTTGGGTTTGGATTTAGGATTTGGTTTAGGGTTTTGGGGGAAATTAGAATGAGGGCTTCGGGATTTTTTGGGGGGAGGGGGGACTTTATTAGGGATGAGGAAGACGACGTCGCGAAGAGTTTGGGATGAGCTGGTGCAGGAGAAAGCGGGAGTGCCGGATTTCTTTGATGATGTGGTAGAGTTGGGGAGGTAAACGTCTTTCAAAGCGTTGGAGTTGCAGAGTATGGATTTGTTCCAGCCGGACGCCATTGTTGCTGGCGGAGCTTTGCCGACGCGGCGGAGGTTACAGTGGGAAAGAGAGAAGGTGAGCGAGCGGGAGGGAGAAGGAATAAGGCACACGCGGGCTTAAATGTTTTCTGGTTTTTGTAGGTGGGGTTAAATTGGCGCTTTATGTAGTGCAGCTGTTTATTGTGCTGGAAAGGAGGAATTATTGCGTGCGGGCATCTTATGCATCTCTGCATGCGGTTTTCGATCTTGACCGTAGATCACGGTGATCTACGGTCAGGATTATTTCCGTTTTTTTATAAATAAAAAAAAATTTAGGTGAGGCCCACCAAAATACATCGGGACCGTAGATTAGGTGATCTACGGTCCGGATCGGACAACGCACGCAAGTTGTCTGATCCGTATGAATAATTTTTCGCTGGCAAGAGCTCATTTCATGAAAATAATTACTGCAAATAATATAAAAGTTTAGCCATACGAATTTTAAATTACTTTAATCATTTCTTCCTCTCCCTATCATCTTTTATCGATTTTTGAACACTTTGAGAAAAAAAAATTATTTAAGTAAAAAAAAGTGGTGATTTTGGAAGATATTCTAAAGACAGTGAAAGTTGATGGATTGAGTTTGAGAAGCCATCACATTAACCAAGTTTTTCATCACCCTTATCTTGGTCGATCGATTAGATCGTTGCCTTGGACGGGCCACACATTACACCAAACAATTTAAGCATATCTTCTCACGGTCTTCGCGGGGGTAATCCATCCAAATTTCATGCTGGGATGATTTGTACGCTACTCATTGTGGATCTTATGGCTAATGGGTAGGGCACCACCTTTAGAGCTTGACCAGTGTCGGGGTAGGAGCGTAGGATTTTATCGATGGTTTGGAATTGTGGGTTAGACAACCAAGTAGAGTTTAAATTATGTAGACTACTTCACCTTACTTTTTGGAAATTTACTTGTGAGAGGCAAGTTACCTGAGTGTTTGTGGCAAAATCTTTATATTCATATTAACGAAAAAGCTTAATGAAAAAGTAAGGAGGGTTATGAGACATTTTACATTGAATTGTCATCTGTACATTTTATTGCAGCTTTTTTTAGTCGCATCCAGACAGCTGAGTAGAGGTGGTCGAGCAGAAATGACCCAGTGGATGTGGTTAAATGGTTGGGTAAAGTGTCAGCAGGTTCAGCTCTGCGGTTGAATTGGGTCTGTCATCTAAGCCGGGTCGGTCGTCCATGCCTCAGGCCGTCTAGGATGCAGGTCGTACACGTTGCTGGTCATCTAGGCTACAAGACTTATTGGTTAGGTCGATTGAGACCTGAACTGGCCAAATTGAAGCTAGTCGGGCGAAAAGTAATCCTCAATTTTTCTCATTGTGTTGCTTCTCTTCTTGTTTGATGCATGATCCACATTCACAGCCAAACTGGAGCTAATTGAGCCTAAATTAATCCATAGTTTTTCTCCTTGTGTTGCTCCTCTTTTTATTTGATGCATAATCCACGTTTACATCACCTTTTAGGATGTTCAATCCTGGTTTGTGCATGAATCACACCCCAAGAATTAGAGCTTACGAAAAAATAGAGAGAGAGAGATGCACAATAATTAATATTAATATGGGCAATTGGGGTCTTCTAGGGCCTCTTGTATCTATTTTATTCATGATCCTCTTTTTAAAGAAAATGAAGAGTACAATATGCGAAATTACATACTTGCCCAAGCTTTAATGGAGTTTTACATGATATTTTGGGTATTTCACATGTGTGAGCTAATGGTTTGACTACCTTTTGGCCCAGTTGGCTGACCTTGTAAAGCTATGATTCGGTGAGGCTTGCTCGATTGGTTGAGCTGGGTCGCTCATCTAAGTTGGGTCGGTCGTCTAGTCTGTGGGTTATCCAGACCATGAGTTGTTCAGGCTCTGGGTTGCCCATGTTGTGGGTAGTTCAGACTGTGGGTCGTTCTGGTTGTGGGTCATCCCTCTAAAAGATTCAATCTGATATGTTTTTGCTATACACATACATCTCAAATCTATAACATCAGATAAAAATAACACAATTATTATCTTTTTAAAGTGAAATACACATATTTATGTATGTATTTATAACACTAAGATGAAGTAAATATAAAAAATATTAACTATAATGCATTGATAAATAAATTCTCTTTAGAAATGATGATGTTAAAATTTAGAGCTTTTGAGTTAAAAATAATCTTGAGTTGACAATTGAATAGAGATAATTGAGAAAATTAGTCTTTTAGTTTCTAAGATAAAAGAAAATTAGATAATTAAAAGTTAGGGTTTCATTTGCAATTAGTTTAGGCTTGAAATAGAGTGACTTTGAATAAAAAAGCAATGAAAATTTACTAGAAAGTTGAGTTAGTAGACAATTAGAACAAGCCCATATTATCAATCCGAGTGTAAGCTAGAATTGGCGTGATGGCATAAATTTGGCATGTCATAGAGTTAACACGTAATTTAGAGTCTGATTATTTGGAATCATCAAATGACTTAAAGTTTGCATGCAACTTATAGTGGGTGATGTGGGATTGCCCCACTTTAAAATGAAGGGGGATAAATGAAATGATAAGTAAATGTTTAATTCATATGATAATATATGTTAGACAATGAGAAATGACTTATGATAGCAGGCGACAGATGGAAGATAAATTTCACTACATTTTATTTAAAGTATAATGATGTAGGAATCCAATAGATGGTGAAATAGAAAAATAGCAAATATCAAATAACACACTAAGCACCAAACAATAGTTGGTGACAAATAGATGGCCAACAAAGAAATGGTTGACAACTAATGGAAGTGTGTTATGTAATTAGAGAATGGCGAGTAGTTTGATGGATGTCATACATTGAATGATAATAGACATAAACAATGAAACAATATTGATGAACAATATGAATAAGAAATGATAGGAGTCATGCCAATCGACAATGATAGCAAATATATCCATACTATTTAACATATGGTATATATTGGATGATTGCACATTGTAAATAAATAGTTCACTACTAATACATGATTGTAATTAGTCTACTATATGCAGATGATTAAAGACTACTATAACAATTTACTTCACTAAAGAATAAGCAATCATTTTTTAAGGAAAGTTAATATAGATAATATGTAAGGTATCTCTAATTAAAAATCTTGATATGTCTTTGGATATACTTAATTTCTTCTTTTTTTACACATGTTTTTAAATAAAACTGTACTTTAATGTAAGCTGTTTTTATGTTTATGATTCATGTATAACAGGTAGGAGCATTGAAATGAATTTGGACTAAATCAGAGCGAAATAGAATCAAATGGAGCAAATGTGCTGATTGTGGACTGACGCCTAAGCTGCAATTTTGGTTGTTTGAATTAGGATTCTAACCTGAAATTCGCTTTAGGATTCTAGGACCAGAAAGTAGTAGGCTAGAATTCATCATTAGGTTGTTATTACTACGAAGCTTCTGTCACCTTCCTTGTGAGATCAACATTCTGAACTCAAGTAGAGTCTTATATTATAAAAGCAATACGCGCACTTTTATACGAACCCAGATACCTAGGTGAAGATTGTGAGTCAAATCAAATTATCATCAAAAGTGTTGATAGTTGTTGGGGTCGTCAATTCTTTTAATTTTATTTATTTTGTTATTAAGAATAACTTAATGTATGGCATACCATTAACTTAATTATTTTAATACTAATAACATGAAATTACAAAATCATGAAAATATAAGGTTATCACAAAATCTAACCAATCTTATTCATTTAAAAAACCTAAATTCAAATTTAAGAAAGAAGATGATTTTGATTTAAGTTCAAAATCCTTTGAACTTACGCATAGGATCTGATGATACATCTTTTTTCTTTTTCTTTTTAATTTGCATTAAAAAACATTTTCATTGTCGGGGAAATAAATGTGCTTTAATTATGAATAAATGTACTTTAATTTATTTATTTTACTTGTTTGAATTACTGCTTCTGGGATAGTGTAAAAGACTGGACATGATTATTACAATGTAACTAAAGTCGGATTAAACAAACTTAAGACTGACTATTGGAATGATGCTGCCTTGATTTTTGTGCATTGTGACTTGTGAGAGAGTTAATGATGTTTTGGTTAAATTAATTAGCGTAATGTCAACTTAATTATTTGTAATTAAGGTTTGAACTTTGAAGTCATAGATGCAATAATTATTCTATTCATGATTTGAAGGAGATTAGCTATATGACAGGGATGAGAGTGAACATTAATGCATTTTACATTGCCAGAAGCCAACACAGTTTGAAATTGAATGCCATATCTGTGAATTTAAAGCATTGATAATAATATTGACTGGCCATTGCCTTAAAGAAAGTGGTGGACGATGAATTATGAAAGGGGCAAATATATTCAAAATGTGTTAAATTCAGAAATTTATTAAATAATATTTTCTTATTTATTTAATTCTTAAATAAGTATCAAAACATGGTATCTAATTTCAAGATTTTGAGAAAATTTTTTGAGTGATTGATAGGAAAATATTTTAAGTCAGACAATGTCTCATTTGAAATTTGAGATTTTGTTATATAAATAATAAAATTTAGTAGTTTAGATAATTTAGTAATTTTTGCCTACTTCCCATACTAATAAAAAATAGATACGTTGTGGTCTTACCAACTCTAATAGTTAATGCTGGTTCTGCTCCTATCTTTAAGGTGATGATGTCGTTTCTTAAGTGTGTGCATATATATACTATATATATATTGATGTCGGTTAGAAAATTTACTGCGGTATAGTAATATATTATTGTCTTAGCTTGATATAAAGATTCAACACACAATTATATAAGAGAGAATAAACTAGTGGTGTTGTCAGAAGTTTTTAGTGTTGACACCAGAAGTTTTTAAGTGGAAAGTCCAGAAAAGTGAAAAATCACGGGGTCTAGCCAAGCTGAATAAATTCATTATAAACTGGATATTACATTTACAGTCCATCGTCCCACAGTTGGGAAAAGGATGAACGCTCTTCGGAGGTCGGTGCACAGATGAACTTGTAAGAAGTGA